TAGCATGTTTTTAGGGTAAAAATGAAAATTATATTAATATTTTTTTCATAATATTTTATAAAAATATCCTAATTTTGAAATTTTTTAAGATTTTTTTTGCAAGTCTAGCAAGTAAATACTAATCTAATATAAAATAAAATTTCTTTTTATATAATTATAGATATTAATGAATTTTAAATTAAAATATCAAATTTAATTATTAAATTGATAGAATATCAACTATACAAAAAATTACAACTAATATAAATTTTTTATATATCTAAATAAAATTATTTATCTTAAAAATTAATTACCAAGGAGGAAATAATCCCTTTACTTAGCTCATAAATATTTTTTAAAATTAAAAAATCCACCTTTTTAATCCAAACATCAAAAACAAATTTTATATTAATTAAAAATTAATATATTATATTAAACATTTTTCAAAAGCTTAGGTTGCGGCTCTCCCCCCCTGGTCCTACGGTAACTGCGCCGCGGCACTCACGTTCAAGTAGAGAACTTTTTCACCGCCTATAAACACTACCTTCCAACTAATGAAAAATCATCAAACCAAACACCAGTTAAATTCAAGTTCCTAGTTGTCTGATTCATTTTCAGTTAGTCAACAACTAAACCTGTAATGGCCTCAAATCAGCCACATTTTATCTTCATACCTTTTATGGCCCAAGGCCACCTTATTCCTCTTATGGACATAGCCAAATTGTTTGCAGAGCAGAATGCACTTGTCACCATAATTGCCACACCTTCAAGTCTTGCCCGTTCTGGTTCTACAATCAACCGTGCCATTGAATCTGGGCTACCTATCCAAGTTTTGCAAGTCCGGTTCCCTTCTACAGAGGCCGGTTTGCCAGAGGGATGTGAATTTGCAGACAAAATTCCTTCTCCGACTCTTGTGAAGAACTTCTACACTGCAGTAGCAATGATGCAAAAACCAGTGGAGAAGCTGTTTTCAGAGCTAAAACCGCATCCAAACTGCATAATATATGATAGGAATTTCACATGGATAGTAGATATAGCCTCCAAGTTTCAGATTCCAAGGATATTATTTGATGGGAAGAATTACTTTACTCTCTTGTGCTATCATGCTTTAAACATTTCCAAGGTCCATGAGAACGTGTCTGAAACAGAACCCTTTGTGGTGCCAGGATTGCCAGACAGAATCGAATTTACCAAAGGTCAGCTACCCAGCAACTTCAATCCTGGTAACAGCTCAACTATGAACGAAGTCGTTCAAAAGATATTAGCAGCAGAAGGAGGAGGATATGGCGTGCTACTTAACACTTTTGAAGAATTGGAAGCAGAATATGTCAAAACATACAGGAAGGTTCAAGACCGCAAAATATGGTGTGTTGGCCCTGCATCACAATGCAACAAAGAGAACTCGGATAAAGCTAAAAGAGGTAACAAGTCCTCTATTGATGAAAATCAATGCTTGGAGTGGCTTGATTCACAGGCACCAAACTCTGTCATTTATGCTTGTTTTGGAAGCCTCAATAGGCTTACAGCTCCACAACTGATAGAGCTTGGCTCAGCCTTGGAAGCAACAAACAAGCCATTCATCTGGGTTTTAAGAGGAGCGGATGGAAAAGAAGAAATGGAGAAATGGTTCTTAGAAGATGGATTTGAGGAGAGGACAAGAGGGAGAGGCCTCTTGATCCGTGGTTGGGCGCCTCAAGTTCTGATCTTATCCCACCCAGCAGTCGGAGGGTTCTTAACACACTGTGGCTGGAATTCTACACTCGAAGGCATCTGTGCTGGTTTGCCAATGATAACATGGCCCCTGTTTTCTGAGCAATTTTTCAATGAGAAACTAGTAGTACAAGTCCTGAAAATTGGTGTTGGGGTAGGGGCAAAAGCTAGGCTGCGGTGTTGGGGTGAAGGGGATTCTGGGCTGCTGGTGAAGAGGGAAGACATCAAGAAGGCTGTGGACATGGTAATGGGTGAAGGAGAGGAAGGACAAGAGAGAAGAAGGAAATCAAGACAGCTTGCAGACATGGCAAAGAAGGCCCTAGAAAAAGGAGGATCTTCTTACCTCAACATTTCCCTGCTAATTGAAGATATTAAGCAACAAGCCACAAGCAATCCAATTGCAGCATGAGAAAATTATTAGATTTTTGAGGTAATAAGAAAGGGTTGAGAGAGGCCTTGGAGGAGAGTAGAACTTAGAACATGACATAGAACATAAAGTCATAAACATGAAAGGGTGTAGACATTCTGTTAGCGTGTGAGATCAAGTATTTAATGTGGCAGTTACATTTAGTTTATTTTACTTAGTGGTGTAGCAGTTTCTTTTTAGTTTGTAACTTCTTTTCATTTCAGCAACTGTTATGTATAACTTTCTTTTTCTTTGAAACTTGTGTGTATGTTCGCTGCTATTTTCTGAAAATATATCAGATACTGTTCATGTATTCCAACAGTGTTCTATGTATTTCATAATTTCTCAAGTTAATCCTTGAGTTTATGTTCACTTTATGTTGTTTTTCACTTGAGTTTTCATCTTTACATCATCAAATTGGTATCAGAGCTTACAATTCTTGAGGGATCTGTGAGAAATCTTAGAGAGGTGTGAGAGAGTGAAACATGAGTGACGAGTGAGGGAGAGAATCTTGCTCTTCTATAGCATTTTAGAATGTCTTCTTCTTCAACAAATTCATTTTCTTCTCCTCCAATGTTCAATGGAGAGAATTATGATTTCTGGGCTATTAGAATGAAAGCCTTCCTCAAAGGGAATGATGTCTGGGAAGTCATCGAGCATGGTTTCCAACTTCCTTTTCCACAAGAAAACCCAACAGTGGCACAAATGAAGAGAAACGTAGAGTATAATGCAGGTACATATAGAGCACTTTCTTTTCTGCATAATGCAATGGCAAATGATGTTTTCCCCAAAATTGCATCTTGCCAGAATGCACAAGAAGTCTGGGAAGCACTTAAAGAAGAGTATGAGGGGAGTACTAAAGATAAAAGTGTGACACTGTTAGCTCTCAAACGAGAGTTCGAAATGTTGAAGATGAAGGAAACTGATACAATACATTAGTATTCTTCAAAATTAGTTGATTTGGTCACTCAAATTCGAATGCAGGGAGAGAGATTTCCTGATTCACGAGTGGTTGATAAGATGTTGGTTAGTCTTCCTAATAGATTTGAACCTAAAGTTGCTGCAATTGAAGAGTCTTGTGACTTGAGTAGGCTTTCCGTTAAAGCACTCACTGGAAAATTGCAAGCTCATGAAAAAAGACTTGCAATGAGATTTGACAAAAGTGTTGAGGGAGCATTTCAAGCTAAGCACAAGGGAAAATATTTAGTTGCAAGATTAGATTGGCAGTAGGAAGCTAACAAAGTGGAGAAAGGCAAACAGCAAGCTGAATGTTCTAGAAATTTTGACAAGAGAGACAAATTTCCTTCTTGTCCAAACTGCAGAAGGACAAATCATCTTAAAAAAACTGTTGGCACAAAGGAAAGCCACGGTTTTATTGTAAGAATTGCAAGAAACATGGCCATATAGAAAAATTTTGCAAAGCTAATCAAGTGCAGTACAGGCCTAAGCAAGTGCAGCAGGCTAATTTCACAGAAGATCAGAATGAGGAAGATTATATGTTTGTGGCTATGCACAGTTGTTTTGTGACTTCAAAGGATTCATGGTATGTTAATGGTGGTTGTACAAATCATATGGTCAGAGATGTGAAGCTGTTTACAAAGCTAGACAGGTCTATTCGAACAAGAGTCAGACTTGGCAATGGTTATGTAGTGCAAGCAGAAGGCAAGGGTAATGTCTCAATTCAAACTAAGGAAGGTATTAAAACTATCATTGATGTTCTGTACATTCCTAGTTTGAGTCAAAACTTGCTAAGTGTTGCACAATTAATGAAGCATGGATATTCTGTACATTTTAAACATGATGTATGCCAGATTTTTTATTTGCATGGTTTTGAGGTTGATAATGTGAAAATGGTGGATAATAGCTTCCCTTTAATGTGGAGTGATGTTAAGCAGCATGTTTTGATTTCTAAAGAATATGAGACTACCTTGTGGCATAGGAGATATGGTCATTGCAATGTTAGAACTTTGAAGTTTTTGCAATCTTCTCAACTTGTAAGAGATTTGCCACAAATTTATGTCCATAATGATGTATATAAGAGTTGTCAACTTGGAAAAATTCATAGAACAGCTTTTCCCACAACTAAGGCATGGAGAGCAAGTCAAAAACTTGAATTGGTGCATACGGATTTGTGTGGTCCTATGAATACACTTTCTCTCAATCAAAACAAATATTTTCTTTTGTTTATTGATGATTTGACTAGAATGACCTGGGTGTATTTTTTGTCTAGCAAGTCACAAGTATTCTCTGTTTTTAAAAAGTTTAAAGTGCTGGTTGAGAAGCAAAGTGGCTGCCAACTTAAAATTTTGAGGTCAGACAATGGAAAGGAATATACTTCCAAGGAGTTTGATGTTTTTTGTGAAGAACATGGTATAAATCATCAATTAACAATTAAGTATACACCACAGCAAAATGGTGTTTCTAAGAGAAAAAATAAAACAGTGATGGAAATGGCTAGAAGCATGCTTTTTGAGAAGAATTTGCCTAAGAAGTTTTGGGTAGAGGCAGTGCATACTGCTGTTTATTTGCTAAATGGCCTTCCAACTAGAGCTGTTGAAGGTAAAACTCCTATTGAGGCTTGATTTGGACTTAAGCCTTCAGCTTATCATTTGAAGGTTTTTGGTTCCATATGTTATATGCATGTTCCAGCAACTAGAAGAACCAAGTTGGATGAGAAAGCTGAGATGGGAATTCTAGTTGGTTATGTAGCACAGTCAAAGGGGTACAGAATTTATAATTTGCAGTCTCAAAAAGTAGAAGTGTATAGAGATGTTTTAGTTGATGAATTTGCTTTTTGGAGCTGGGATGATAAGAAAATTATTTAGGAGTCTTCTTCTCAGTTAAATGAAGACTTTAATGTTGAACAAAGTGCAGCTGCTACTTCTAGACACCAAAATGTTGTTGAGACTGATGATGACTCACCACCTTTGAAGGTAAAGTCACTTGAGGATGTGTATGCTAGTGCAATTTGGCTACTTTTGATCCAACTTGTTTTGTTGAGGCTTCAAAACATGATGAGTGGATGGCTGCTATGAAAGAAGAGCTGGCTATGATTGAAAAGAACAAAACTTGGTCACTTTGTCCTAGACCAGAAGGTAAAAATGTGATTGGGGTTAAGTGGGTTTTTAGAACAAAGCTTAATCCTGATGGTTCAGTAAACAAGTACAAGGCTAGATTAGTGGTTAAAGGATATGCACAGCAGCAAGGAGTAGATTTTTCTGAGACTTTTGCACCAGTCGCAAGGCATGATATTATCAAACTGTTGTTTGCTATTTCTACTCAAAATGGTTGGAAGGTATACCATATGGATGTGAAATCTACTTTTTTAAATGGTTTTTTGGAAGAAGAAATCTATGTTGAGCAACCAGAGGGGTTCCTTGTTCATGGTAGTGAGAATATGGTATACAAGCTTCATAAGGCTCTTTATGGTCTGAAACAGGCTCCTAGGGCCTGGTATAGTAGGATTGATGCCTACTTAATGCAACAAGGTTTTAAGAGGAGTGAAAATGAAGCTATTTTATACGTGAAAGACACAAATGGTGGTGTACAACTTCTGGTTTCACTTTATGTTGATGATTTTCTAATTACAGGTTCTGATGTTCAAGCTATGGAACATTTTATGCTTGTTATGAAGAAAGAGTTTGACATGTCAAATCTTGGAGAAATGAGTTACTTTCTTGGTTTGGAAATCAAACAATGTGGAAATGGAATTTTCTTATCACAGGAAAAATATGCACAGGATATGATGAAGAAATTCAATATGGGATACAGCAAACCAGTTTCTACTCCTCTTGTTTTGAACTGTAAAATGTCAAAAAATGATGGTAGTGCTTATGTTGATGCATCTTGGTACAGAAGTATCATTGGCAGTTTGCTTTATCTTACTGCTACTAGACCAAACATTATGTTTGCTGTTAGTCTGTTGTCTAGATACATGAGTTCTCCTACTCAAGTTCAATTGAGTGTTGCAAAGAGAGTTCGGAGGTATGTTAATGGTACTATTGATTATGGAATCTGGTTTAGCAAGAATGATCATGGTTGCTTATCAGGATATTCAGATAGTGACTGGGCAGGGAGCATAGATGACGGTAGAAGCACTTCTGGTTACTTATTTCAGTTTGGATCAGGTGTGTTTTGCTGGAATTCTTGTAAACAAGAAGTGGTTGCCCAATCTACTGCTAAGGCTGAGTATATTTCAGCTGTGGAAGCTTCAAATCATGCTATATGGTTGAGGAAAATGCTATATGATATAGGGTAGCCTTAGTTTGATCCTAGTTTGATTTATGTGGACAATACATCAGCTATTGCAATTGCTCAAAATCTTGTGCAGCACAAGAGGACTAAGCATGTTCATGTCAAGTATCATGTAATTAGGTAGTACATCAAGAACAAGCAAATTCAATTGCTTCATTATAGTTCAGATGTACAACTTGCTGATATTCTTACTAAGTCTTTGCCAAAACAGAGGTTTGAGATGCTAAGAGAGCAGCTTGGAGTTACCAGATTTGCTCTCAAGGAGGAGTGTTAGCGTGTGAGATCAAGTATTTAATGTGGCAGTTACATTTAGTTTATTTTACTTAGTGGTGTAGCAGTTTCTTTTTAGTTTGTAACTTCTTTTCATTTCAGCAACTGTTATGTATAACTTTCTTTTTCTTTGAAACTTGTGTGTATGTTCGCTGTTATTTTCTGAAAATATATCAGATATTGTTCATGTATTCCAACAGTGTTCTATGTATTTCATAATTTCTCAAGTTAATCCTTGAGTTTATGTTCACTTTATGTTGTTTTTCACTTGAGTTTTCATCTTTACATCATCACATTCACCCCACCAAAGAGGAGAAACCATGCTTTCTCTTATTCAATTTTCAGTCAATTTCTTCCTTCCTTTTTATAGAGAAATGCTACGCATAAAATAATAATATTTTTTTACCGAATTCAATAACTATTAACTACCTAAAACATTGACTAAAATGTTGAAGTTTGCTGCCATTTCTTGTAGCTCATGTGCAGCTCCATGCTGTTGTCACTTTGCTGCTACTATGTAGTCATGTTGAAGCATCATTTAGCAGCTCTCATTCCTTTGCATTTTCAGCTGTCATGCCATAACTCCACCAAATAACTCGTGGTAGACACTCAAACACTAACATCATAAATAATGGGGTGACAGAATTGAAAGAGGCATGAAGCCACCAACCACATTTGAAGGTTTCCCTTTTCCATTCCCCCAAACTAGATTGTTTATACTGGTACTTTGAAAAGATGAAGTAACCATAGAACAAACTACCAGTCGATTATGTTTATACTTTTTTTTTTTAGAAACTAGAATTTATCTAATTCATTCAATTAAAAAATTTAAAATATATCTCAAGACACAAAAAGAAGATTACTCTGAGAAGACAATTTAGCTTCCAGGCACAGCACATGTGCAGAGAAGTTTCTTAAATTCTGCTGCACAAGTCAAACAAAAATATGTTGAAAAATTATTAATATTAGCAAACACCACTTTGAAAGAAAAACTTTCAAAGAAAATTCTGAAAAGTAAAAGAATTGAACAGAACCAACCCAATTCTTCTTGTTCAAGAAAATTCTACTATGAACTTTTCTTGTAGCCTCACCATGTTCACATCCATATCACTGATCTTTCCACAAGCAGCATCATCCCTTGGACATTTATTCCAGACGTTTTGGTTGACATGTCTACTGAATTTTCAAATCCAGAGCATTTGACCTAAATTTTCACTTAAAAAGTTTAAATGCAATCACAGAAAGACCTACATTGGAAAATTAAATTCAAAAACAAGTTCAACCAAAGCAGGTGCTTAAACAGGAACTCGAAATGGTGATATAACATGGCCATTGGAATATGCTTATATATGCTCTTACGTCCAAGTAGAACTTTTTCACTGCCTATAAATACAACCTTCCAGCTAATAAGAAATCATCAAACCAAACACCAGTTTAAATCCAAATTCCTAATTATCTGATTCATTTTCAGTTATTCAACAACTAAAACTGTAATGGCCTCAAAAGAATAGGCAAGTGTCTGTTGGCGATTTGAGGCCAACAGCTTTGTTGAATAACTGAAAATGAATCAGCTTTAGTAGTATTTTATTTTTTTAACATTTACAAACCAAGGTCAAGGCCTTGGTAGTTTATAAAACAGTTGCAGAACCCAAAGGACAGGACAGTAATAGTTGGCAGAGAAACAGAGTACGCAGACCCAACAGAAATGGCTTCTTCCGATCAATCTCTTCTTCACTTTGTTTTGCTTCCACGTCTCGCACAAGGCCACCAGATTCCGATAATAGATCTAGGCAGACTCTTGGCGCAGCGCGGGGTGGTTGTCACCATCATCACCACGCCAATCAACGCTGCAAAATTCAGAACAACCATTGACAGAGCAGTAGAACCCGGGCTCTGGATCAATCTTCTGGAAGTTCCGTTTCCGCCTTCGGAGGCGGGGCTCCCGGAGAGATGTGACAGCATGGATGCTCTCCCTCGCAAGTTTTGACAAAAAACCTCCCGCTTGGCATTCAGCTGCTCCAACAGCGTGTCGAGCAACTGCTCGACGAAATGCAACCTCGCCCGAGTTGCATAATTGCGGATACAAGAGTTGTGTGGAGTCTCCATACAGCTAACAAATCAGGGATTCCCAGGGTTGTGTTCGATGGAACTAGTTGTTTTTCTCTGCTATGCACGGAGAATATACTTGCTACTAATATTCAGGAGACTGTTGGGCACCGCAAGTTCTGATCCTATCTCATTCCGCGATCGGAGGCTTCTTAACGCATTATGGATGGAACTCAACTCTAGAAGCGGTGACCGTTAGCATTCCGATGATAATAAGCTGGCCGATTGTTGCCGAACAGTTCTACAACGAGAGAATCATGGTTCAAGTAGCAAAGATCGGTGTGAGTCTAGGTTCCAAGGTTCCTCTAAGACGGGGGAACCGGAGAAGGCTGGCATTGCCGCGAAGAGGGAAGAAGTGAATGGGGCCGTAGAGCAAGTGATGGCCGGCAGCGAGGATGGAGAAGGTAGGAGAAAGAGGGCGAGAGAGCTCGGACACATCGCGAACAAAGCAATCGAAGAAGGTGGGTGTTCGTATCTCAATTTGACATTGTTAATTCGAGACATTTTGGAGCAAGTTTCTTCAAGAAATTAATGAATAATTCTGAATAGATTTGTTTTCTTGCTCAGGAAATTTTCTGGCTGATATTTTCACAGGAAAAAGAAATGCAGAAAGCAAGAAAGCCCGAGTAAATCAGACTACTTGGGCTGAGTGCTGAAAGCAGACCCATTAAGTTTTTAGTTTTTACGCGGTCCATCTGACGTTCCTAAATGGATGCCACAGCCCAATTCATGGTTTTGGACCAATGGAAGAAATTTTTTTTTAATTCTAAAATATAAGTCGTTTAATTTTTTTTATCAGTATTGTTAGATAATATTTTTTTATAATATAATTAATAAATTAAATTCTTTTATTTTATTTTTATTAAATAATTTTATTATATTTTATAAAAAGATATTACCTAAAATTAGGTATTTTATTTAATTTTTATTAAATAATTTTATTATATTTTATAAAAAGATATTACCTAAAATTAGGTAAAAATAATCCAGTGACTTATGCTTTGAAATGAAAGAGTATGGGCCCGGGAGTCGTTTAATTTTTTTTATCAGTATTGTTAGATAATATTTTTTTATAATATAATTAATAAATTAAATTCTTTTATTTAATTTTTATTAAATAATTTTATTATATTTTATAAAAAGATATTACCTAAAATTAGGTAAAAATAATCCAGTGACTTATGCTTTGAAATGAAAGAGTATGGGCCCGGGACTACTAAATTAATTTCCTTTTTAGGAAATCTGTTTTCCTATGAAATAGTAAACTTCATCTTTTTTCGGTAACAAGTGAACGCGGCGGCGCAGATTGTGCAGTGTAGTTAATATTTTATTTATATAATATATAGTTGGAACATACTAATAATAAGTAATATAATAGTTGTATGACTTAGGTAGTACTGTTGATTAATTTAATATATACTCCGACAATTTTATTATGTACTTGTTTTTTCAATTTGCTATCGGTGTACTTTTTTTTTCAATGTGATTTATAATATTTTGACCATATGTATTTACTTCTCTTTGAAAAATTATTTGAAAGTTATTTTTTGAAAAGTGTAAAGAATATTTTTTATTAACTTGAAATTATTTTTTAGTGACTTATTTTTTAAATGGTTACCAAACACCCAAAATATAAAAAATAATTTGTAGAAATTGTTTTCCAACCAACCAAATGGACCCTAAATATAATGAATTTATCTAATAATTTAAATTTAAAATCTTTGAAAATTTTAGGGATCTCTTGTGCAGTAGGAAAAAAGCTTCTGTTTTTAGATTTTCTTTTCTCTTGTGGATCCTCCTTTCTTTTTCTGCCGATTATTTTCTTTATATCTGAATTGTAATTGCAATTCCCTATATATTACTTCAACCTATCGAAACTTTCAAAGAAAAGGGCCTTGCGGCTGGTGCAAATTTTTTTTTTAGGCAAGAGGTGCAACAACTTTATCAAACTCTCGATTGCCTTTTGCTTAATTTGGATAGAAAAGAAAGCTTTTCCTATTATGATTGCAGCACCCATTTTTTGTTCAATTGTTTCCATTAATTTTGAATTGAATGAAATTGTTTCACACAACCATATATCAGTGGTGATTTTGTGAATACCGGTGTCTTGTTTGTTCCTTGAATTTTTTAAGAATTTAATTTGGTTCAAGTATTTCATTAAAGGGCATTTTATCCAACAATATCATATGGTCATACAAAAGAGAAATAAAGAAGATGCTAATTTTGGGGATTTGCCTCCTGCTTAGTGGAATAGTAATGTTTGCATGGCAATTAGTGGAAAGGGATTGCTGAACTATCAACCTACTTGCTCTCCTTGCTATAACAAATGAGATTACTTAGTAGTTGAAAAATCTCATAAAATAATCTTTCTATACCCTATAGCTCCAGTGTCCTATGTTCAAGTGAATTATACTGAAAAGGAGGCTTAACTCTCATATATCAAACTCTCTTTGGACACATTAAATAGATTGGTTTAGGATGTGATTATAATTAATACTTCTTTGTTTTTATGTGTAGCCTATAATCCTTCTATTATTATTATATCCTTAGTTTTTTTTTTAAAAAAAAACTTATTTCTTTCAAAATTTAGGCCCTGTTTGGTATAGTGGTTTTGGGATAGCGGTTAGCGATTTTACCTAAACTGCTAAATATAAGTGTTTTGTAAATTTATATATTTCGAAACCGCTATAAATAAAGTATTTGGTAAAATTTTTATTTAGCGGTTTGAGACTAACGGATAGCGGTTAGAGTTTAAACCGCTAGCAGATTGAAAAAGTTAGTTTATGTAACTTTTTGTATCAAACCGCTAATGAATTAAAATTTTTTAATTTTATTTACAAATT